TTGTTACTAATAGCGATGCCCTTTGTTACTAGTAGCTTCTTGTTACTGGTAGTAATGCACTTGCTGCTAATAGCGCATCAGCTCTTGCTACTAGCAGTAATGCACTTTTTACTAATAGCGAAGCCCCTTGTTACTAGTAGCTTCTTGTTACTGGTAGTAATGCACTTGTTACGAATAGCGATGCCCTTGTTGCTAGTGGCTTCTTGTTACTAGTAGTAATGCACTAACTACTAATAGCGATGCCCCTTGTTTCTAGCAGCTTCTTGTTACTGGTAGTCACTTGTTACTAAAAGCGATGCCCTTTGTTACTAGTAGCTTCTGGTTACTAGTAGTGATGCACTTGTTGCTAATCGCGATGCACTTGTTACTAGTAGCTGCAAACTGCTGGTTCAAACACTTGAACCCCAGAAATCCAATGGCTCTACAGGGGTGCATTCTCTTTGGTTCTGTGAAAACGAGCTGCTGCAAGCCATACGATGAGGTACTGTAGATTTTGCAAGACTGCTATACGATCAGAGCATCTTCTTGCTGCCTTCAACCCGCTGTGACTGGGCGACCGTTCCCCTCGTCCTTTCCTTTCTCTTCTTTCTTGGACCTCAAAGCAACGGCGTGGCTGGGATGGTGAGTCAGGGGACCGAGTCAGGAAACTCCAACGCAGATTTAGAACACTATGAGGGAACCAAAGTGTTGGAAGGTTTCTAAATTGCAAGTAGAAGCCAGAGCCCAAAGTCAGGAAACCCGAGTGTGGGCCAGGTGGATGTACAGGGTCTGGAAACCCGTAAGACAAACAGAAAGAAACCCTCAAAAAATGGAACTGCCAAAGAAAACCTAAAGACATGAAGCCCTAAGCCAACCAAGAAACCTTAAAGAAGCGCATCCCGCAAGCCAAACCAACGAAATGAACTCGCAAGCCAACCCCGAAGCCAATGGAGAAGCGAAGCCCCAAAACAGCCTAAAGAAGTGAAGCCCTAAAGTCTTAAGGCAAGGGAGCCAAGCCAAGCATGAAAACCTAAAGAAGTGAGATCCGGAAGCCAAAAAGACCCTAAAGAAGAAGCGAACCCCGCAAGCCACGCCCAAAGAAGCCCGAAAGACTTGCCTGGAAACCTTTTGCAAAAGTGTTCTCTGCCTCCAGTGCAGCAAGTGTGTGTGAAAACTGATGGGGCTTGGGGGGGCCATTCCCACCGGGCACCTTTCCCGATATCTCCCGCTTCCTTCGCAGTCAGACTCAGACTCTCAAAAAGAGGCAGTGGCCTGTGTCAAATTGATGTGCATGAAAAGAGTCCCCCTGCTTAAAAGTGACCTTTCTGTTGGCAATTGGTGTCTTGGAAATGCACTCAGGGGCATAGTTGCGGATCAAACAAGCGATAGCAATGAGGTCCCTCCTTGCGCCTGCCACGAAAAGTGACTAGGCATCCTTTTACTTCTGCTCCTTCTCCTCTGTCTTGTTTCTGACTTTGCGTCATTGATGCCAAATGCAACTTTTCAGACCACCAAAGCACGAGGATTTCCTTGCATCTGCCCCGAAAAATGACCACCAAGCGGAAGCCTCCTTCTCCTGTCCACCTTCTTTCTTTCATTCCATCATTGTCTTGCTCTTCTTCGTATTTGTCTTATTGTGGGCTGGTTTCTGGATTTTCTGACTCTGGCGGTTTCCCTCCGTCTACTACATGTTATTTAGAGGTTTCAGACATATGCATCAACACACGCGTGTGTGTCTGTGTGAGCCGGACATCGGCAAGAAAGCTTATCGCCTTGAAGAAGATATGCTACTGCAAGCTGTCCCCTTCCTTTGGTCTGTCCTTAACAGCCTAGAGTATATAGCTCGCAGCGAAGTCAATGTGGGGTTTGGCCGATTGAAAAGTGGTCTGCAAACAATCGAGTCGCTCTTTCTTCAGCTTCTTCTTCTCCTTCTTCAACTTCCTGACAGTGGAGTAGGTTTGCTTGCGTCACAGTTTCAATCCGCTGCAAATCATACCCATTCAAAAAAGCTTTCCATACTTGCAAAGTACAAAAGAAACAACAAATTGCAAAGTAATTTGTGTCGATGCAAGCAAAGCAACACTCCAACATGCTGAGACACTTCTTTTCTTTCTTCGCTTTCTTTTTTGCCTTCCTCGGCCCCAGATTTCAGCATCCTACTTTTGTTCTGAAGGCAAGAAATCAGAAAGTCACAAGGTGCTTGTCTGTTGTATTGCAGGCTTAGCATGTTGGATACTTTTTGAGTATTGCTCTCATGAGCAGCTCCATCAGAGCCACAGGCAGCACATTCCCTCTGCAGCCACGAAGCTTCTTCGCCTTCTTGTCAGATGAGGATGACTGAGTCAGCTGATCGGAAAATGCCACCATGCCGCAAATACTCATCGAGTGGTTCATTTTGGAATGGGTCGAAACTTGACACCAGAAAGCCGCTATTTGAAAGAACATGAAAGGACATCGGTGGTGAGGGTGAAACTTTCTGGGTCCCATAAACCCGCTGATGCATTCACAAATTGCACCATTGTCTATCTGACTTTGATTCAGCCAAGAAGCCGAACTGGAGCTTTGCAACTTGGAGATCTGCCTGACTCGTGATGATGTCTCCAGGCGACTTGGCATTTGCAGTAGTAAACAAATGTCAGTGCCGCTTTCAGTGTGCCTTCTCTGTGCGCTGTCTTCTCTCAAAACAACTCTTGTTGAAGAAGGTTCCAACTAACTCCCACTATCGTGTTCAATCGTGTTGCTTTCATTTCAATTTCTCCAAAGGATTCCAAAGGTATCTGCCAGGCGGCCCCAAAACCCTAACGCCTTTGCCTCTAGTTCTTCCAGCGACCCCAAAGCACATCCGGCGCTTGCCTTTGCATCCAGTTGTCTGATGAGTTGCGGCTGATTTCCTCCAAGCCGATCGCCAAGCCTGCAACAGGCAGCTCTTCCAGCTCCCATTGGAGGCGTGCCAATCATTTCTTTATACAACAGTACTTCCCAATGTTGCAAAACCACCCATACGCACCAATTCGGTCACCATACCGCCTGGGGGACCGTCGAAGTTCCGGAAGGCGTGGTACCGATCAAAGGCCGCCATGAGGTGGATCGATGGGTCCGTCGGAGGAGTTCAAATGACCGGCCCATGGTCCGTCGGTTCATCTTTCCATCGTTGAAACGAATGCAAATACGACACTTGAATGAGGGGCTGTGTCGGTGTTTGCCTTTCTCCACAGGTTCTCTCCAAAGTAGAGTAGATTAATCTCGAGTCCATGAGGGTCCATTCTGGATTTAAAAGGGACTATCAATGAAGGACTTTGACTGATCTTGGAAAGTTCCAGCACAAGTTCCGGGCTTCACACTCACAGCCAGAAATCTGCTTCTAGTTTTATCGCTGCTGTCTCGGCTCCAAACGACAGTTTCTCAGCGTTCTTCTGAGACAAGAGTGAGATGCCCACCTGAGAAGAAATGCAAAACATAAAGAAAACCTAGAAGCGATGGCCTCCAACCTACTAGCGATAAAAACCGCCTACAAACATATCCACAACTCAGTTTCTCCAAAAACTTCTCGAATCAGGATTCCCTTGGCTGGTCCAAAATTACACCACTGTAGACCCCAAACAGTTTGTGTTTTTCAAAATCGAAACTAGAGCTGGGAGATAAATGTAAAGGATTGCAAGGCAGAGACGGACACAGCAGTACAGAGCGGGGGGGACACATCTTAAGAAAGAAGTGAGAAGCCCTAACAGTAAACCTTTTGGGGAATTATTCTTCAAGCGCGAACATGATGCTGGTCATGCTGCTCAGTCAGCGGGGAGCTGACCACGTGAGGACAAGAAACAAAAGCATGAGGAGCGAAGGATGTGAAATTGATTTTTGGTGCCTGACATATGCCCTCCGCCCCAACTGAATAGAGAGATCGCTGCCACACCGCCGAAATCCAATCCGGTCATTCATCCAACGGTTGCCCGAGAAGGAAAACAAAGCTGAGAGAGTTACACAGTGCGGCAGGAATGCAATCCCGGAGACAGTCACGCACCCCTTGCAAAGGAGCAAGAACCTTTCACAGGCGAACCTGTTCCAGCGGACAGGGCAGAAAACAGCAGTGCAGGCACCAAACCTGAAAGACAAAAAGAAATCACATGGGAGACAAATGAATAGAAATGCTACATGGCCAGCGGAAAAGGGCGGCAGCACCAGTGACAGACCCGGGAAACAAATTAATAGAAATGCTGCATGCCCAGCGGAAAAGGGCGGATACCAACAGTGACAGACCTGGGAGACTAATGAATAGAAATGCTGCACGAAAAGGGCGGACACCAGCAGTGACAGACCTGGGAGACAAAACACTGGCAGTGACAGACCTGGGAGACAAATGAATAGAAATGCTACATGGCCAACGGAAAAGGGCGGACACCAACAGTGACAGACCTGGGAGACAAATGAATAGAAACAGCGGAAAAGGGCGGACACCACCAGTGACAAGCCTGGGGGACAAATGAATAGAAATGCTGCATGGCCAGCGGAAAAGGGCGGAAATTAGCAGTGACAAAGACAAATGAATAGAAATGCTACATGGCACCAGCAGTGACGGACCCGGGAGACAAATGAAGCATTTCTGGGAGATAAATAAAAAGAACCGGGAGACAAATGAAAGCAAGTGTAGGGCGGGAACCCGACCACAAGCACCCAGCCTGGGAGACAAATGAAAAGAAGTTGGTGACAAATGAAAAGAAGTGGGAGACAAATAAGAGGAAGTGGGAGACAAGCCGGCCGGGAACCCGACCACAAGCAGAAAAGAAGTGGGAGACAAATGAAAGGAAGTGGGAGACAAGCTGGCCGGAAACCCGACCACAAGCACCCAGCCTGGGAGACAAATGAAAAGAAGTGGGAGACAAATGAAAGGAAGTGGGAGACAAGCCGGCCCGGAACCCGACCACAAGCACCCAGCCTGGGAGACAATGAAAAGAAGTGGGAGACAAATGAAAGGAAGTGGCCTGAAAGACAATGAAAAGAATTGGGATGCAAATGAAAGGAAGTGGGAGACAAGCCAGCCGGGAACCCCGACTGAAAAGAACTGGGAGACAAAGGAAGTGGGAGACAAGCCGGCTGGGAACCCGACCAGACCATCCAGCACCAAGGCGACCATTCTTTAAAGCATTGAGAACCCCTAACAGTAAACTGTTTGGGGAATGAAAAGAAGTGGGAGACAAATGAAAAGAACTGGGAGACAAATGAAAGAAGTGGGAGACAAATGAAAGCACGTGGGAGACAAGCCAGCCGCAAACCCGACCACAAGCACCCAAGGAAGTGGGAGACAAGCCAGCCGGAAACCCGACCACAAGCACCCAGCCTGGGAGACAAATGATGAGAAGTGGGAGACAAATGAAAAGAAGTGGGAGACAAATGAAAGGAAGTGGGAGACAAATGAAAGGAAGTGGGAGACAAGCCAGCCGCAAACCCGCGACCACAAGCACCCAGCCTGGGAGACAATGAAAAGAACTGGGAGACAAATGAAAAGAAGTGGGAAAGGAAGTGGGAGACAAGCCGGCCGGGAACCCGACCACAAGCACCGAGCCTGGGAGACAAATGAAAGGAAAGGAGACAAGTGAAAAGAAGTAGGAGACAAATGAAAGGAAGTGCGAGACAAGCCAGCCGGCACAAGCAGCCAGCCTGGGAGACCAAAAATGAAAAGAACTGGGAGACAAATGAAAAGAACTGGGAGACAAATGAAAGCACGTGGGAGACAAGCCAGCCGCAAACCCGACCACAAGACCCAGCCGGACAAATGAAAAGAAGTGCGAGACAAATGAAAGGAAGTGGGAGACAAGCCAGCCGGGAACCGGACCACAAGCACCCAGCCTGGGAGACAAATGAAAAGAAGTGGGAGACATATGACAGGAAGTGGGAAAAGAACTGGGCGACAAATGAAAAGAAGTGGGAGACAAATGAAAGGAAGTGGGAGACAAGCCAGCCGCGAACCCGACCACAAGCACCGAGCTTGGGAGACAAAAGACAAATGAAAAGAACTGGGAGACAAATAAAAGGAAGTGGGAGACAAGCCGGCCGGGAACCCGACCAGACCATCCAGCACCAAGGTGACCATTCTTTAAAGCATTGAGAACCCCTAACAGTAAACTGTTTGGGGAAAAAGCTGTCTTGAAGCAGCTGGAACCTGCTCGCCCTCCAGCTCGGCATACAGATTTGACTCGGGAGCCTGTGATCCAAGAGAGGTGCTTCATGGTCCATCAGTCTGTGAGTTTGTTTGATTCACCACTGGACTCAAAGGACTCATGTTTAGCCGAACCTATGAAATCGAAGGCTCCAGAGCTCTGAAAAGAGCTCCCCAAGCTCGTGTGATTGCCTCGTACTCGGTGCCAAACATCTTGTACATGGCATCCTGCCGCTCCTGCAGGGTTCCCTGTCGGGATTAGTACAGTACGTCTTCTGAAACAAACGCACAGGACGCGATAGGATGCCACAGGATGCCATAGGATGCCATGGCCCCAGAGTCTGAAAGCTTAGTTGAAACACAGACAAAAGGCATCGCTACTAGGAGCAAGGACGCTACTAGTAGTAGCTCCTGGCATCGCTACTAGTATATAACAAGAAGCTACTAGTAACAAAGGGCATTACCACTAGGAGCAAGGACGCTCAACCTTCAGAGCAAGCCACTTCAGACTCCTGTGTCGCATCACAGATGGTGTTGAAGGATAAGAAGTGCTCCTGGGCTTGGGCAGGTTTTCCAGGTACGAGTCCGAGATTGGAAAGTAAGGAATGTGGATGCATGCTCTGTGAAAAAAGGTCAAAGTAGACGGAACCACACCCTGGAACGAAAATCAAGGTAAATGGTGGAAATGGTAGTAAGGTAGTTAAAGTCCATCACTTCATAGCCTTTGGTGCATGGAGTGAACCAGTAGGTTGGCAAGACTGAACGAGAGGTGGAGTGGAGACAGCAAAAAAGAACCTCCAGGAAAAAATAAAACAACAACAATCACGTCCCAATGTCTTGAGACCAGACCACTTGTCAAGACTAGGGAATCATAATGAAATAAAAGAGGGTGATGCCTGTCCTCATCACAAAAAATCTTGAATCTTGTGCATCAGTTGAAATTCTCTGCCAAGCAGATCCGAAACGATGAGTCTCGTAGAATCCAGGCCTAGAAAGTGCTATCCGATGGTCCTTCACTGGAATTCCTAAATTTGCTGACGTGCGGCATTGATGTTCTGCGGACCGAACTTCTTGATCAATGTCTGTCAGGGCGAGCCCCGAAACGCACAACGAGCTTGCTTGGGAGCCCTTCAAGAGGAAAACGGAAAACGCTTCGTTTTTTGAGCCATGCTCAAAACCTGAGAGGATTGCCTGGTAGCTTTGCACCTGTGAATGTGCCTGATTGAGTCTCGTGTGAGAATCGTGGAGCGAGAAGACAAAAACCACGACTGAACTTCCGATCTTACAAACACACACGGTAAGTTACTTTGTAGTGCACTTCCCCGGCCCTCTCAAAGAGCTTGCCAATCAGCTCGGTCTCACCCTGCACGGATTGCAGGGTTTCGGAATGTCTCTAGAAAGAGCCGGGCAGCACTGAAATTTAGTCTGCAATTCGTGGTGCTGCCTGAGCTCTTCAGTCTGCTCAACACTTGCTGAACTCCTGATTATACTCGTGAAAAGAATGCACGAACCTCATGGCATAACTGAAAAGCCTCCTTGCAGCACAAACACAGTCAGTGGTCGGCAGGAAGGGTAGGCCAAGTTGTCCATCTGACCCGCCGAAAAAATGGACACTCGTCTTCTCTTGGGCGACCAACCCTTTGCCGCAGGGGGGCATTTCAGCGTCGCCTTCAACATGGTGGTCTGGTTGGCCACCCCCAGGCGGTCCAAGTCCACATCCGGATCAAAGCCGGGGCTCATCGCCTGCACCGGCGGTCAGCGGTCGACTTGACTGTGCTGGAATCTGTTCCTGAACATGCCATTGCTCGTTATTCGTCTTACCCTCTTTTGCCCGCTTGTATTGTGAAACTGTTTTGACCCTGCCAATGCCAAGTTTAGAAGGCCCTGAGGCCCTGAAAGCAAACAAATCTCAGGGAGGTCACGTGGATCACAAGAGACTGACAAAAGTGACAAAGACCAGACTGGCGAAGCACAAATGGTGCTTGCATATGCAGCTGACACAATGCAAAAGCGAACCAAAATACATATGGCTCTCAAGATTGCTCTTGCGGACGTTCCATGCAACAACTTCTTCCAGACATCCTAGATCAAAAAACAAGCAAAGCCTAGCTGGGGCTCAGTTTCGAGTCATACTGCCATGCTCTCATGGCCACTGAGGAGCCCCCAAAGTCAGCTTCTGCCTTTGAGAACTTGGACATGAACTCCTGACGCTAGCCGCTAGTGAGTCAGGCTAGGAGCCTCGTCCAAATGACAGTGACTGTCAGACCAACATACCATCTAGTAGAGTACAGGCTATTCGCTCAAACGGGGAAGATCTTGCAGCACTCTCAACGAAATCTTGCACTGGTTGGATTTCACGGTCAACTGTCGACCGCCGGCCGCAGAAGTCCTCTTTGTCACCACCTTTCAGAATAAAGTCCGCAACATACTCCGCTTCGGACATGTTCTTGAGCACCAGGTACCTTCACCACTGGGAGAGATCCCAACTTCAATCAGGACCTCCGAGGTATGTCCAAGGACTGGGTCTTTCTTCTACTCCCTGAGCATCTTGCATAGGAGACGCAAATCGAGCCAAGGCCAAGGAGAGTCCTTTGCTTCACCCATTTCGACGGGACACTTCTCAGCAAAGGACTTCGTGGCGACGGTCTCCTCATGATCATACCTCGGAGACTGCGGCATCTCGTGGAGAATCCGCGCTTGTCGGGTCGCATTGTCTCGGAAAGGAAAAGGTTCTCTGAGGTGGGACTCTCTTCGGACAAGAATCAAGTGCCAAACATCGAAGCAACAAAGATGGGAGATTCATTGATCAAGTCACCACTCACATGACTCACCTGGTGGCCATTCATCAGCTTATATTAGAGTAACTCAAGAGAAATTGAAGCATGAACTTCCAAGAAGTTTGGCATTCCACCAAGTTGGACAACGCTTCGCGCATCACTCGCACCAAGAAACTGCAGAGGCGTTCACATAATCCAGACATGTGTGCCAGGACACTTTCAACCCTCCAAGCAGTATATACTGTTCTGCAACTTCTGAAGCATCCAAGCACCCGACTTGCCATGGATGATAGCAGTGTGACCCTTGTCCTTGCACGCAGGCACTTTGAAGCAATCCAACAAAACCAGATCGAGGTCTTATCAACATCTGTTAGCAGAAGTGCCAGTCAATCGTAACCCCAAGCAGTGGCTTTCAACGAACTTGTCCCAGATCCCTCACATGTCCTTGCTCTTCTCGACCGATCCCCACACCTTTCATCTTCAGGAATCAAACGGATCGTTGGCGGAATGAAACGTACAATATCAAACCAATGCTTGCATGCAAAGCAAAACACCATACAAGCCACGAATGACCTGCCTTTGACACCCAAGGGCAGGTTGTATCAACGATCTGCACATTTCGTTCCTGGCCACAAAATATTGTAAGACTATATGTCAAAGCTGGGAGAACAGCTTCGCTTACGCATGTCTCCTCCTAGTTTGAGACAGGGTACTTGCAGCTTGCCACGCCAGCTTCTCACAAGTCAAATTTAGGAGAGACGAACATTTTCAGTACTGGACAATGAAAAACAGCTAGTCGCTCACACCTTGAGAAAAGCCATCTCATCGACAGATGCTCCAAAAGCAGGAAGGATTACAACCTCAGGTGGGAATCAGAATCGTCAGTATTTCAGTTTTGCTTTTAGTATAGATGGGATGGGGAACAAAATCCTTGAGATTCCGGATTGTGTGGGTACATTGATGGATTTGCTGTAAAAACACATGACATTTCATGACGATATGATAAGTGATAAGTCCTGTGCAAACGAAGAGTTCCAAGGGTATGAGCTCTGCTGACAAGCTGTGCAGCTGTTAATCGGGAGCTAAGGAGTTGGTGCTTAGCCAAATCAATACAAGTAATTAGCAAGTAATTAGCATGTAATTAGCTACTGGTAGTAACGCCCTTGTTACTAGTGATCCACTTGCTACTAGTAGCGATGCCCTTGTTACTGAGAAACCTGAGAAAGAGTAGAAAGGGTCGAATTGTAATGGCCATCTTTGCATACTAGTTGCTACCGGGTACCGTGGTCTTCTGCCATGTGTCTGACACGCCGAGGGAAAGCGCCAGAAACGATCTGAGGTGCACAGATGGGCAGGAATCCTGAATTGTTCCGATTCAGCCGCTGACATCTCCCTGCTCCACTCCAGAGTAGTCCTCCAGCGTGGAAGGTTGAAAAGACGAAGGTCAGTCATATGCCTTTCATGCCCAACCTTGGAACCATCTTTGCTTGTCTCCACGAACTTCATGCCTTTCTCAGTCAACTGCTTGTTGACCTCGGTGCTTCTCGGTTCTCAAGCACTCGTTTTGTAAAGCTGGCAAAGCAGTCTGAGTGAGTCAAACGGCGAGTCACTGAGGATGGGGCTGATGGGTTGTGGATGATCTCGTTCCTCAAAGCAGAAAGCCCTAAAGAGCCCTTGGTTGACTTAGGCACGTGAGCCCTTGAAACTTGAGGCAGCAGCGTGACCCAAATGTTTTTGTCAGGAAAGAAGTCTCTGGCCTGCGAACAGGCCGAGACTAGAACTCGAAGATGCAAAGGAGAAGGTTGTGACTAGCTGCGGGAGGAGGTTAGTTTGAGTACAACTATACAAAATTGCTCTTTCCTCCTTGTGTCTTCAAAAGTTCCCATGTTCCAGCTAAGCTAAAGCTGCTTTCTACGAAGAAACATTGGGAACTTGTAGCCTCATAGGCCATGGCCACGGCCCTTTCCACACCCCAGCAAAAGCCATAGGACCTCAGAAAGCCACAAAGCCACTGGGAGCTGGTCATCTACTGTTCAAACCTACGGCTTGCTCGGAGGGGGGCCAACTGTTTTGTGGAACAAACTCATGAACATATGGAGGTTCGGAATTACTTCTCCTCTGCATCCCGCTCTTCGCTTGTTTCCCACACGGCTCCCAAATTGTGTTGGGAAGGGATCTTTGCATGTTTTTTGTGTTTTGCTCTGGCAGCTGTTGCTATTTGCTGCTTGAGGTTAATTTTTGGTGTAGTGGTCTATGTCCTCGCCAGAAACTAACTCAGCGTTTGCGTCGTCCTTGGCTCCTAGCTCGGCCAATACAAAGGTGATGTCCCCTACCTTGGCTTTTTCAAAAAGCACCGATCAGCGAACCTGCTTCGCTGGGTGCATCTAGAGTAGGAATTCTGAGAAAATAAAAAGAATCATGTTTGATGCAAGAAAACAAACGTCGGAAGAAAAGCTAATCAAAGAACAAGTTGAGGCCCAGGTACAGTCAGACGAAAGCCATTCTTCCGGATCTGGGCGTTTGAATTGGGCCAGCGAGTTTTGTTCTTGCAATGTGTTTGTCTCGTTTGCATAAAGATCTGGGCTTTGACTCCAGGACACAGGGCCATTCGATCTTTACGCGTACTGAGCGTACCAAAGCACTGTGAAAGCAAACGAAAAAGCCCGTGACAAATCCAGTTGCACCAAAAGTAGTTATATAAGTTCAAAACACAGTTGTTGTACCAACAGGTTCTGATTGCTGAATGACAACTGTGCATGCGGAGTCATGCAACTCTGTCGCCAGGAAAACATGGGTTGCACACCCAGCTAATTTTTTGAGACCTTTCCTCCGACTAGCTATTCTCCAAATCCTGGCCCATGGGGGATAAAGCCCCAGCGCTTCCCTGCTACGGGACTTACAGTCGCTGGTCAGCTTGATCAATTAAAAAGTAAATAAATAACACGCAATCCCACGACCTTCGTCAATAGCTCACTGCCACTCACCTAGGCACTTTGATGTGGCCTTTTGGTGAGGGTAGGGGTATCAATCACATTCAATTTCAAACTGTTCAAAATCCTTCAACTGTTTTCCTAAGGTGCGACAAGACATCCTTTCAGTACATGCCTTCAATGACACTGACATGAGTTTGTGCCACATCACAACGCAAATCTAAACTGAGTCTTTACTCTCGCAAGCAGTTCAGGATGCCTTGAATATCCAAGCGCTGAGGGCCATGCAGCCTTCAAGTTCTCCATGGCTCCCTCCATCTGAGTCCTCTGTCGAACCCAGAAAACGGAGAGTCGAGTCCAGGCACAAAAATTTGAGTCCGGTGCCAAAGCGCCACAAGTTGAGTCCGGAAGCAAACATATCAATTACAGTACCACCTTTCAGAGCGAGGCAGCAAATGCATATCCTGCCAAACTTGAAGTAGGAATCAGACCTGAGCACAAAAATGTGCCGCTTGCAAGCTCCGGTTTAATGAGGACAGTCTCAGTTGATAAAGTTTGCGTTTCCAATGATAATGGCGCTCTGAGCCTGCCTCTTGAGTGCTTTTCCACTCGGTACTTGTGGATTGAAAACCATGACGTTTTTCTGTTATCTAGCTTGATCTAGCGACAGGGCCCTTGGTTTTCAGAGCAGTAAGTCTGCAAGAGAGCTGGCCACAAAGTTGCAAATCATAGCCACCGGTCACGGGGCTGGCCACCGGCCGGACAAAAAAGAAACGAACCGGTACTGCAAAAGACTTAAATCGAGCTTTTATGTGCACAGTATATATATATAGTTATTCTGGTTCACATCAACAACTTAGACCCAATTGTTGCGAGGTCTATTCGTTTGGAGGCATGCAAACATCTACAATCTGCTCAGAACAATTCCCTTGGAGGGTTGGAGGAAAAGGAAAAGTTATGAGTAATGATCAACAACCTGCCAAGTCGCTTGGTCAGCTCTCTTCGGAACTGCTTTGTCTTCGCCTCAATTGCAGGTATGCCAGCTGCTGTTAGAGTCATAAAGTCTAGGAACCAAATCATTAGTGTGAGCGCAATCCTGCGTCCTAGCTTGGAGCTTCCTATTGCTAGTAGCGAACTACTCCCATACTTGTATAGTTAAGGAGACGCCTCCTTAATTAAGCAAGGAGACAGGGCCACGGGCTTAAACAAAAAATGCGACCCATATCCAAGAATTCCAGACTCGGTCCACCGTGGGCATGGAAGTGCTGGCCACGGAGGTCCTTCGAGACCTCCACCACGGCCACCGGTCAGCAAAAACCGCTGATTTCGCTGGCACAAAACGGGAGCTGATGGAACACATCCGTGAAAACGATACATCAGGTTTCTCTAAGCTCATTAGTGCAGTTCCCAAAGGGCTTCTTGAGAGAACCACTGGTCAAACAGGAAGCCCACGCCTCCGACCATGCGCACCGATAGCAGCGAGGCCTGAGTACTCTCACTTGGAAGCAGTTTGTTGCTCCCCAATCGCCTGATTGAAGAGTGGTGTCTGTGTGTGAGAGACAGTCAGTCCATGACCGTCCCAGGGACAAACAAAGCAACCAGCACATTTGAAACACGTTGTTTGTGCTTCTTCCGAACCACTAGTCACTAGTTCTCAGATGCAAAGGTAAAGGTTGGCCTGTCCAAGGACAGATTTCACGGGGCATCGACTTCAGCGACAACCAATGCGCTCCAGTGACCCGGGCCTGCAAAACTTGCAGCCACAGTGGCACCAGTAGCCTTCACTTCGAAGGTGTGCGGAAGCCGTCCCAAAATATCAAAAAAACAAGATTCCTCAAACCCACATCTCTCAAAGCTACCTGATGCCTAAACACTACTTCTGAAGCACAACGGGCGTGCCGGGGCTGCCACGAGCACCATCCCATCATTGTGTTCTTTTGTGTTTCCAAAGGGTAGTGGATTAGCAGGGGGT